TGGCCACAACTAGTATTGCTTAGTGCTTTCTGGATTGACAGCATTTCGTCAGTTGCTGAAAACCTCTCACAGAGAGCTGCAGTGTCAGGGAGGGAGAGCATGTGAGACACAAGTGAAGGACGATTTAGCTGAGTGAGAGAGGGTATGAGACTTGTCCATGATAGTAACTGGGTTGGGTATGTAGACTGTCATACAGGAGCCTTTAGTAGTATCTTAAGTAAAATGGGAGCTGCTACTGGTGACTTGCTTTCTAAGAATTAGTGCACTTCTGCAATTTGCCCTTTTGGCTTCCTAAAGAGTGACATTTTTTGCTGGAGAGTCTGCAGTACACATGCGTGGATAATGCAGAGCAAAATTTTTAAGAATTCAGGAGAAAGAAATTACCAGTGCAGTCCTCCTCTGCGAGTCGCTGTGTGTGTGTTGTGTGTGTGTGTGTATATATATATATATATATACACACACACACATATATATACACACGTATGTGTGTGTAATAATGTGACTTTAATGTCACTCTAAGTGATGCCTCCTGATCCGATCATCTTCTTTCTTCAAGTATTTTTCAGCAGTCCCTCCAGCGCTGGTGGTGGTCTGTGATCCAGTGCAAACTGCTGTTTCTTCTTGTGTTCTACGGAGTTTGTCCGATGTGCACGCTCACGGCTGGATTTTACAGCCGGGAGCGAGCGGCAGAGACAGGAGGGAAAATGTTTACCCTTTTAATTTTTATTTTTTTAAAAGCTTCTGCATATATGAACTTTAAAGAGAAGTGGGTATGTTGCGCTTGGTAAGTGAATCTATTTGGTTTTACTGTGAATAGTGAAAATAGTCACTGTATGGTTCCGTGGTGATTAGTCCAATGTGAAAAATTATTCTGCAAATATGTGAAGTGAATATAAAGTGCAGGATAAGGTGAGTGATGTCTGTGAAATAGTAAAAAAAAAATAATATATATACTATTTTCACTATTCACAGTAAAACCAAATAGATTCACTTACCAAGCGCAACATACCCACTTCTCTTTAAAGCACTTAAACACACATTGTTGCGGCTGGTGTTTTAAATCCGACTCCTAGCGCAAACTAAGTTGTTTTGAATATTCTGCATATATCTACTGTTTGCTAGCAGTAGATATATGTACAAAAATAAATAAATGCGTCTTTAATGTCACTAACATTTATTGATTGTCCCTATGAACAAAACAAATTTTCACTTTTCGAGTTCAGTTACACTTAAAGTATACATTAACTGTGGTACTCTCTTGTTTTCACATCCTTTCTTTCTATACCCTGCATTTTTAGATACAAGCACTGTCAGATTTTCTTCTGGATATGTTTAATATGACGAATACTACAGAGCAACAAGTATTCTAAAATGCTTGAATAATATCATTGAAAGCATCCCCTTACTCAGCCCTTTTGTTTTCAGACAGCTGAGTTGAGGTAACTGCATAAGCACAGATCATCTAGTCTCTGAAGAAGTATGATCATAGTCATTTTTTCATTTTGTGGTTATGAAAACAACTCATCATGCTTCATACTGCAGGATAAATTCCTAATTTGACTTCAGTGGGATTCAGATTAAATTTGCAAGACAAGCAGGCTTATTCTGTTAAACACTATGCACTTTGCATTATGTACTCTTTAATAAATATTTCCTTGGGAGTCAGAATTAAAGTTTTCATGCCTGAGCAAGCTATATTATGCACTGCTACAGTACTTTCCAAAGTCAGTTTTGTTGTTGTTACTAGAATGAAATAAACAAACCAGGTGGACGAGCAAGACATTTTTATTATCATTAAAGTGACCTTGTCATTTTCATATAAACATAATCCAGGCAAAAGGGGCCCTGTAAGAGAGAAAGGACTATACTAACACTCTCCTACCAGTAGCAAGATAGATAGGAAGATAGATACATAGAAAAAACGAATGTAATAGTCCCCGGATTGGACTGGACAAGAAAGTTATGATAGGGTCAAAATGTTTAAAGCCATTTCAAATGCTGGTTAGATCACTTACAATGGATGCTGCTTCTTGATGTTTAAAAGTTTTAGTTTCCTGCAGAATCAGCTGGTGCCCTGAGCTCTAGTCCGGATATCGTGTTTTAGAGTAGCTCCTGTCCCTTGCAGGATCCTATAGAGCCACCCACGTTAGAGAACCAGCTGATTCTTCTGGAAGCTAAAACCTTTAAACATCAAGGAGCAGCATCCATTGTAAGGGATTTAAAAGGAGAACTATGAGGCGAGTGAAAATCAATAGATCGGCAAGTGAGCAAACACATACCGCCGCTCGCTCACTTCTCGATCCTGTCCCTGCAGAGAGCCGTGAATGTCACTCACGGCTCCCTGCAGGGATTCCCCCCTCCCCTGTCTGATCCTCTAGCGCTGACTGACGGAATGGACGGGGGAGGGTACAGCTGGCTCTGCCTCTAGATAGGCACAGCCAGCTGTCACTCACGCAGCTGGGTGGAGCCAGACAGTAATGTCAGGATATGTCCCGGCTGCGGCGTCTCAGTATACCGCGAGCTGTGGCTCACGGTATACTGAGCTTTGGGTGACGGGAGGACGCTAGTTTGTGACGTCCCGTTACCCTTAGGAGAACTATGGGGAAAAGCCCTGACCCCATAGTTCTCCTTTAAGGAACTCTGGGCAAAAAAACGTGCCCATGAAGTGGGGCTAATCCCACACTGCAAGGGTTAAGTGCTTATTTTGTCTAGGGGGGTCTTTTGAGTCTTATTCGTCTTGGAGGAAATGTCTCTTCTGGAAGGTACCCCGGATGCAAAAAAGTGACATGCCATTAGGGTTTGTTGAAGTCATAGGTTTTGCAAAAAAATAAATATTGAGATCCTCTGGGTGTAGAACACTGGATTGTTCCGAATTGGTGTCAGAGGACTTGGGCAAGAACATATGGTAGTCAGCGGACATAAATTTCGGAAAGGTCTTCAATGTGGTGCCAATGAATGGGTGAATTACTAGTGTGGATCCATGGATATTCCAGTCAAGTAGTCTGGTTAATTGGCAAGCACAGTAATATTTCTGTAGGTTGAGCAGCGCAATACCCTTTCTGGTTTCAGGGCAGCAAGGAGTCTCTACACCAGGGATGAGCAAACTGCAGCTCTCCAGCTATGGTGAAACTACAAATTCCCTCATGCATCATTCTCTGGGAGTCATACCTGTGAGAATTGTGCAATGCCTCATGGGCTTTGTAGTTCCACAACAGCTGATTAGGAAAAAGTCTCCAATTCAGCTCGCTTTCCAGTTCAGCTATGTTGTCCTAGATTGTTCAAATCGAGGTTGATTTCCTGGTGAAGGGAAAATTGGTTTGACAATCCAGCATGACTTCCTGTGGTAAGGAGATGTTAAATGGCAAAGATTTACAGGGTTATTCACAAAAGGGTGAAGAGTTTGGAGAAGACAGGAGAAGTGAACAATCTAGGACAACATAGCTGAACTGGAAAGCGAGCTGAATTGGATACTTTTTCCTAATCAGCTATGTTGTCCTAGATTGGTCACTTCTCCTGCCTTCTCAAAACTCTTCACCCTTTTGTGAATAACCGTGTAAATCTTTGCCATTTAACATCTCCTATAACCCCATAAGTAATTGATTATAAAGTTGGACAAAGATTTGACATTTTCTAAAAGCGATAGCATGTTAGGCAAGGAGATCCTTGGATGGGACAGGGTGAACAACAGATCATCAGTGAAGTCTGCTAGTTTATATTCACGCTGCCCTGCTATTAACCTGCGTATATCCATGTTTGCCCTTATTTGTCTCAGAAAAGGTTCCATTCTCAACATTAAAATCCCCCCATTGTATGTCGGAGAATAGAAGCTAAGGCTTTTTTGACAGAACTGTATTTTCTGTATATAAGACATGTCTTTCCTGAACATATAACTGACATGAACTCCGTTTGGATATACGGTAGTCATGCATAGACTTATATCCTACTTGAGCCTAAGTAACACTTAGCTGTTGAGAATCTTTGCTCAATAGATTGTGTGAATATTCACTTTCATTATCTGAGCATGTAAAAAAGCCAAATTCTGTTTTTCTTAAATCTGTACATAATTACATAATTGAAGTAAATATTCACACAATTTATTGAGTAAAGATTCTCAACTCCTTTTCTTAATTTAGCCCACTTGTATACCTGTTCGCGTTTTTGGCATTGCTGCTCTGCCTAACCCAACATAGACTGGAGAAATTCTTGCTCTAAAGAATTCAAGATAATTTTTATCCAAAGTAAAAGAGCTGTATCGTCGTAATCTATAAAATCTTGCTAGCATGCGAAGGGTTACCATTATTGGCTTTATTTACTTATTAGAGCATATACACTATAACAGATTTGTGAGAGAGAAAAAAGGGCAAGACTGCAGAAAGAAATTGCAGTCTATTGAGAAAATTTACACTGAAGCACATGGGAACTGATGTTGAACTAAATTACATGCAGCTTGTTCATTCTGAATTAGCCTTTGTTAAGACTCAATTCAGCAAAATACATGTCACGAATTCATAGATATAAACTCAGGAAACAAACAGCTTTGGAACTTTGTCCAAAAAGTGTATATGAAGCTTAAATCCAAATGGAAAGGCAACTGGTGGGACATTCCTCCCTGTCCAGCATACAAATAAATATTGATTTTCAGATCATAGTCCCCTATTTAAAGGGATCTGAGGCAGGGAATGCCAAATAAGCCCTGTAAATAATAGCTTTATTCCATATTTGGCCTGTTGCTTCTGACCTGTTTGTAAACTGACTCACCTAAAGGAAGCAGAGGCAAAAGGTGCCACATTCATCACCATGTATATACGATTACTTCTCCTATGAGCATTTATTAATACTTAATAAGGTGGTATTGAGTCTGAAGTTACATGAGGATCTTCAGCCTTTTGTGAATTATTTATCATTTGCAGGAACAAATAAAGACAAAGTACAGGGAAGCTGTATAAACACACAGGTATGTGTATTTACTGCAGAATTAAATAAATAAAACACAGAGAAAACCTTTCTATGGATGAGCTTCAGAAGAAATTAAGCCAAAGATATGCGGAGAGACCCCGGAAGGTGAGATTTAAAATTTCTTCTGCATACAGTGGCCGGGTATTGAAACAGGTCTTTGAAGATGGCCAGGAACTGGAGTCCCCAGATGAAGAGTATCCTCATAGATTTCTACATGACAGCTTTGATACATCAGAACATTACTTCAGCTCAGGAGACGCTCATCCACAATTTTACCCAACAGCTCGACTAACAGCCCAGAGGATAAGTGTCTTCAGAGATGGTACTTCCTACAGACTTTCAAGTGACCCGCTATTTTCTGGCAGCCATGAACCAGAAAAGAGAGTAAGTCTCATAGCAATATTGAGTAACTGATTGGTGCATTACTATATGTATGAATGTCTTCCCGATTGTATTCTGTACTATAGAAATGCTATGTTTTATGTGCAACTGAAAGGCAATAATAAACTAGACTATGACTAAAGTATGAGGAAGTGTAAAGTTCATCACATTTAAAATAAGAACTGTGTTTCCCATATAAAGCAGCAACACATTAAGCCAAAGACTGTACATTGCTTTCAAATCTGCCTATTGACTCCTGAACTGAACCTACTGTCCCTTGAATTTGTCTATTTCTAGGAGAGAATTATGACAGCAATAGGTAGTTTGATTAGTACGGCTAACTGACAACTCAACTTTTACATTATTTGAGAAATAAAATTGATTGTGGATTAACAAGAAATATAAAAGTGTTGAAACCAAGAAGGTGTATGATATAAGAGAGGATAGCAGATATACTATGTCAAAATATAGTAGCAATGTTTGTTTTCAGCTATTAGAAAAATTCTGTTGTCTTAAAGTGTAAGTCAAGCCATAATTGCAGTACATCTCTGCAATACATGTACATTTCCCCATATTTATCCTTTTATAGATCCTGAAAATACAGAGAAATACCTATTGATCTGCCAGAAATACATTCATCTCTTAACCAGTTGACATCCGCGGTGTTAAACCCCCTTCCCATCCAGGCCATTTTTCAGTATTCAGCGCTGCGGTACTTTAACTGACATTTATTCCGTCATGCAGCGCTGTACTGAAATGAATTTTATACCCTTTTTTGGGGACAGATAGAGCTTTCTTTTGGTGGTATTTATTCACCACTGGGGGTTTTATTTTTTTACTATATTAAGGAAAAATTACCGAAATGTAAAAAAAAAAACAGTTTCCCCTATATTAAATGATAAAACATTTATTATTACCCAATTTTTTGGTAAAATATAAAAGATGGGGTCACGTCGGGTAAAAAGACACTAAACATGTCAAGCCTTAAAATTGCGTGCGCGCGCGAAACCTCAAAAAACGATAATACCCAAAATTGGCCCTAGGCGACGCTTTAAAAGCTGTTACCGCTCATCAGTTTAGTGTTATCAGTGATTGATGGCCCTAAAATGATTGCTCTCACTGCGACGTTCGCGGCGATATGTAACATGTGTAGCGCAATTGTAATTTTTGCGCGCTGGGGCACCGGACGCGTATTTACGTTTATAGGCGCGTAAACGTGGGGGTGGGGGAGTTAAACATTTTGGGGGGGTTTTTTCCCCTTTTTTTATATGTGGCTTTTATTTTTTTTTTGCTATGGACCCGCCGATCGCCTATATGTGAAACACCCGGTAACGGGTGTGTGCATTTAGCGGGTCTTTTCTGCCCGTGCGTGCCCGCTAGGGGGCGCGCGCGAGCAGAAAAAAATTGCCGTCTGGAGACGGCAACCCGCAGATGCTGCAGTGCCGTCCGTCCGTTTTTTTACTACGGGCGGACGGCAAGAGGTTAAGCCCTGTTGTAGGTTAGCAACACAACGGGGGCAGTTATCAATTCTATTGCTTGACAAAGCAATGCTAAATAGGGGTAGTGAGACAAAATGTGGGGCAGATTATAAGGTTATAGTATGAATCATAAATTCCTTCCTCAGATGCTCCATAGTAAGACTGCCTGACCCTGATCACTTCTTAATTATGCAACAGTTTAGAGTGAAAATATGTTGCATCTTCAGTAATCTGTCTCAGAACTTTGCAAACTGTCGTACTTGGTTGCCCAGACACCTGGGACTGTACACCGGTCGCAGAGACTTTGCTGAACAAGAGGCAGCTTGATTTGTGACTAATTATGTAGCTAATTTGCTTGATGTCCTCCACAGTATTCTCGTGGCCTGAGTGCATTAGTCCTCTACCATTCTCGGATTTCTAAAACATAAAAAGGACAATGATTCTGTAGTCCATTAGAGAACAGGAAAGGCTAAATAGCCTCTTTTAGAGAACACTGGACATATGCAGTGGACACAACACATCTCTGAATTCCTGACAAGGTCAACAAGTGTTTATTTGCACTTATCAAACAGATATAACACATTGTTTGTAACTGTATATTTAACAGACCAAAAAGGGAAACATTTTTAGAAAATAATTACTTACCTGTAAAATCCTTTTCTTGAAGCTTATTAAAAAGGAACACAAGATGTTCATAGACAACTGGGTTATATTTCTGTTAACAGAAGAATTTGACACTACTCCAACTCCCAGAATGCCTCGGTTTTGTGGCAAAGCAATAGAAGAGTGGGTCATAAGACAGAGGGTGATAAACCTGTGTTTTTTAATGGACACCAAAAAATGATTTTACAGGCAAGTCAAAAATGATTTTTTCTTAACCATTCTTTAAGTCACACAGGATATTTAGAGACAACTGGGATATCCCAACGTGCAAATGAGGGATGGGCAACACAGTAAACGTGTCAGCAAACCCACAAAAGAGTGAAGAAATTTGGAAGACCTGTAAGTCAAATAGCTGTCTTAGGGCCTTAATTCCGAAATTGGCATCAGCAGAGGCCTGAACATCTCCCTAGTAGCACTGGCTGCGAAGATGTGCTGGTTGAGGTGAAAGGAAGAAAGGCGGCCCTAGGCTTCAATTCAACCATATCCATAAGGAAAGGTTCCTTTTGACATAAGGCCACCAACTCAGAGATTCGCCTCGCAAGTTGACGGGGACAAGAAAAAAAAAAAAACACCTTGAAGGTATGAGTAGATAGGGGGATATCCCTGATCGCCTGTAATGGCTGTATCTGGAGGGCCGACCAAACCAGGTTGAGATCCCATGGAGCCACAGGTGTGCGCACAGATAGAACTATGTGTGTGTGAAATGCTGCACAGAGGCCTTGGTCAAGGAATGAAAAGCAAGGGGTCTCTGAAAAAGAATAGCTAAGGCTGAAGGCTTTAGCTCAAGGTCAGATGAGGGTCCAGACCAGATGAGAAAGGCCAGAACACGTCCCACGGAGTACTTCTTAGGTATCTTGTACCATGTGAAATACACTTTTCAAGTGGAATGGTCCTCGTGCCAGAGGTGGATATCCTAACCTTCTGGATTGTAGAGATAACATTCCTATGGGCCCCACCCCTTAGGAACTGGACTTCAAGCCATCCACCATAAAGCAGGATAGCAAACTGGTGATCTGGAAGAGCCCATGCAAAGTCTGCCAGGAGTCGGGCAAGGTTCACATACCATTGCTGCATGTGCCAATTCGGGGAACGAGAATCATCTGGATGCCCTCCATCTTGATGCTGCAGAGTAGAGGAGAGAGCATAAGATGTGACAATGCATAAATCAGGCTAAAATTATCTAACGGTGTAACCGGAACATACACTGCTACGGCCAGAGGATCCTTGATATGAGGGACACAGGAACTAACCAATAGTTACGAACATCTCTGGACCACATATTTTCCCACCTAGGGAATCTGCAATCAGGCAACAGGAGTAATGCATCTTCCAGTGAACAAAAGTAATAAAATGATTATTTCCTTGCGAGGAAGGAAAGGTTGCATACGTGAACAGAACCACCACTGTATAAGGAGGCAAATATTCAGATGCAGGGATCTGGAAACAAGAGTCCTGCATGGAAACAGTGTATACACCACCAATGCTGTCCAGGGTACGGAGGCCAGCATCAGTAAGTGACAGGTGGAATATTTAATTTCCTCCTGAAAAGAGGGAATTACATACTCTTTTTGAAGTGCAGCAGGAATCAGTTTAACGGACTGACTCATATAGAGATTGCTATACGATTTGGGAAGCTGTCTGTTCAAAAAAACAAAGACCTAAGAGTAGGAAAATGGATTCATCCCCTTGAAAAGGATTCCCAAGATGAGATGAGGCAAGTATCACTCAGGGACAGTGCAAAAATAAAGTATGATAACAGAGTTCCCATCAATCGCGCAATCCCATAAATGGCATAGTACATGCTATACTAAAAGAGTAGAGAGTAGATGGCATGTCATAAAAAAGGAACTGCCAGAATCTAAGGCACTGACAAATTTTAGTGAGAAGTTATTTAGCATTCCATGATGTGGGAGCTAGGAAGACAAGGAGCACTAGTGTCAGCGTAAGAGTCAGTGCTGTAGCAGAATCCCAACATTCCTGGAAATCTCAATATAATCAGTTCCATATTTAGAGAAAAACAGCAAGAAACTGATGTTTGTCAAGCTTATAAGTTGATAAGCCCCACTTGAAAAAAAATATGAAATCAAGGAAGTAGATACCTGGTTTCAGGGTCGAAAGTAGAATGCTACAGGTTGAAGCCTGAGCAGTCAAACAAACAGAAGAAACTTCCAAGACACACAATAAAATAATGTGACAAATGGAATAATGGAACAATAAGCCACTGGTAAAAGTGGGGGTATACCTCTAAAGAGAAGTATTATGGCTGCAGTCTGCTGTTCACATGGGAGACAGACTTTGCCTATGAGATATTACAACTGTACTAGCTGAAACCTTGGGTTCTTCTGCTTCATTAAAAGATCACCTGTATTGAAGCGGGCACCCAGAGAATCAGGTGGTTTGTACATGCCACTGTTAAGTGTATGACCAAAAAGACATCTTCCCTTAAACAACAAGTGAATAAGTCATATTTTCTACATCCAAGGCAGAAAGTCAAAGTGCACTAAGAGGCTGCCAAAACTAAAGTGATGGGCTTCCGACAGTTGCTCAACATATATGTAGAAACAATATGGTTCATTGTTACTTTCATTATGTCACATACAGGGGCGGACTGACCATTCGGGCAGTCGGGCACGGCCCGAGGGCCCGTGGCCAGTAGGGGGCCCGTGTCCCCCTGCTCCCCCATTACACTTTGCCATTTTGTT